CACTGGATACTGAATGTGATGAGTTGAACTCTTCAGGGAATTCAATTCTGGCCTCTAGGCACCTCGTGTGAACTTTTGAGGAAATTTGGTGAAGTTGGATTTTTGGGTCAAAAACTGACTTTTTCGATGATGCCGGCTATGGAAAACGTTGAAGTTTTGGGGCATTTTGTAAAAAATCTAAAAGTTGTCTTTTCTCACTGGATACTGAATGTGATGAGTTGAACTCTTCAGGGAATTCAATTCTGGCCTCTAGGCACCTCGTGTGAACTTTTGAGCCAATTTGATGAACTTGTATTTTTGGGTAAAAAAAATGACTTTTTCGATGATGCCGGCTATGGAAAACGTTGAAGTTTTGGGGGCATTTTGTAAAAAATCTAAAAGTTGTCTTTTCTCACTGGATACTGAATGTGATGAGTTGAACTCTTCAGGGAATTCAATTCTGGCCTCTAGGCACCTCGTGTGAACTTTTGAGCTAATTTGATGAAGTTGGATTTTTGGGTCAAAAATTGACTTTTTCGATGATGCCGGCTATGGAAAACGTTGAAGTTTTGGGGGCATTTTGTAAAAAATCTAAAAGTTGTCTTTTCTCACTGGATACTGAATGTGATCAGTTGAATTCTTCAGGGAATTCAATTCTGGCCTCAAGGCACCTCGTGTGAACTTTTGAGGAAATTTGGTGAAGTTGGATTTTTGGGTCAAAAACTGACTTTTTCGATGATGCCGGCTATGGAAAACGTTGAAGTTTTGGGGGCATGTTGTAAAAAATCTAAAAGTTGTCTTTTCTCACTGGATACTGAACGTGATGAGTTGAATTCTTCAGGGAATTCAATTCTGGCCTCTAGGCACCTCGTGTGAACTTTTGAGCCAATTTGATGAACTTGTATTTTTGGGTCAAAAACTGACTTTTTCGATGATGCCGGCTATGGAAAACGTTGAAGTTTTGGGGGCATTTTGTAAAAAATTAAAAGTTGTCTTTTCTCACTGATACTAAATGTGATGAGTTGAACTCTTCAGGGAATTCAATTCTGGCCTCTAGGCACCTCGTGTGAACTTTTGAGGAAATTTGGTGAACTTGGATTTTTGGGTCAAAAACTGACTTTTTCGATGATGCCGGCTATGGAAAACGTTGAAGTTTTGGGGGCATTTTGTAAAAAATCTAAAAGTTGTCTTTTCTCACTGGATACTGAATGTGATGAGTTGAATTCTTCAGGGAATTCAATTCTGGCCTCTAGGCACCTCGTGTGAACTTTTGAGCCAATTGGATGAACTTGTATTTTTGGGTCAAAAACTGACTTTTTCGATGATGCCGGCTATGAAAACATTGAAGTTTTGGGGGCATTTTGTAAAAAATCTAAAAGTTGTCTTTTCTCACTGGATACTGAATGTGATGAGTTGAACTCTTCAGGGAATTCAATTCTGGCCTCTAGGCACCTCGTGTGAACTTTTGAGCCAATTTGATGAACTTGTATTTTTGGGTCAAAAACTGACTTTTTCGATGATGCCGGCTATGGAAAACGTTGAAGTTTTGGGGGCATTTTGTAAAAAATCTCAATGTTGTCTTTTCTCACAGGATACTGAATGTGATGAGTTGAACTCTTCAGGGAATTCAATTCTGGCCTCTAGGCACCTCGTGTGAACTTTTGAGCTAATTTGATGAAGTTGGATTTTTGGGTCAAAAATTGACTTTTTCGATGATGCTGGCTATGGAAAACGTTGAAGTTTTGGAGGCATTTTGTAAAAAATCTAAAAGTTGTCTTTTCTCACTGGATACTGAATGTGATGAGTTGAATTCTTCAGGGAATTCAATTCTGGCCTCTAGGCACCTCGTGTGAACTTTTGAGCCAATTGGATGAACTTGTATTTTTGGGTCAAAAACTGACTTTTTTGATGATGCCGGCTATGAAAAACGTTGAAGTTTTGGGGGCATTTTGTAAAAAATCTAAAAGTTGTCTTTTCTCACTGGATACTGAATGTGATCAGTTGAACTCTTCAGGGAATTCAATTCTGGCCTCTAGGCACCTCTTGTGAACTTTTGATGAATTTGGTGAACTTGGATTTTTGGGTCAAAAACTGACTTTTTCGATGATGCCGGCTATGGAAAACGTTGAAGTTTTGGGGGCATTTTGTAAAAAATCTAAAAGTTGTCTTTTCTCACTGGATACTGAATGTGATGAGTTGAACTCTTCAGGGAATTCAATTCTGGCCTCTCGGCACCTCGTGTGAACTTTTGAGGAAGTTTGGTGAACATGGATTTTTGGGTCAAAAACTGACTTTTTCGATGATGCCGGCTATGGAAAACGTTGAAGTTTTGGGGGCATTTTGTAAAAAATCTAAAAGTTGTCTTTTCTCACTGGATACTGAATGTGATGAGTTGAATTCTTTAGGGAATTCAATTCTGGCCTCTAGGCACCTCGTGTGAACTTTTGAGCCAATTTGATCAACTTGTATTTTTGGGTCAAAAACTGTCTTTTTCGATGATGCCGGCTATGGAAAACGTTGAAGTTTTGGGGGCATTTTGTAAAAAATCTAAAAGTTGTGTTTTCTCACTGGATACTGAATGTGATGAGTTGAACTCTTCAGGGAATTCAATTCTGGCCTCTAGCCATCTCATGTGAACTTTTGAGCCAATTTGATGAACTTGGATTTTTGGGTCAAAAACTGACTTTTTCGATAATGCCGGCTATGGAAAACGTTGAAGTTTTGTGGGCATTCTGTAAAAAATCTAAAAGTTGTCTTTTCTCACTGGATACTGAATGCGATGAGTTGAACTCTTCAGGGAATTCTATTCTGGCCTCTAGGCACCTCGTGTGAACTTTTGAGCTAATTTGATGAAGTTGGATTTTTGGGTCAAAAATTGACTTTTTCGATGATGCCGGCTATGGAAAACGTTGAAGTTTTGGGGGCATTTTGTAAAAAATCTAAAAGTTGTTTTTTCTCACTGGATACTGAATGTGATGAGTTGAACTCTTCAGGGAATTCAATTCTGGCCTCTATGCACCTCGTGTGAACTGCTGAGGAAATTCGGCGAAGTTGGATTTTTGGGTCAAAAACTGACTTTTTCTATGATGCCGGCTATGGAAAACGTTGAAGTTTTGGGGGCATTTTGTAAAAAATCTAAAAGTTGTCTTTTGTCACTGGATACTGAATGTGATGAGTTGAACTCTTCAGGGAATTCAATTCTGGCCTCTAGGCACCTCGTGAGAACTTTTGAGCCAATTTGATGAAGTTGGATTTTGGGGTGAAAAACTGACTTTTTCGATGATGCCGGCTATGGAAAACTTTGAAGTTTTGGGGGCATTTTGTAAAAAATCTAAAAGTTGTCTTTTGTCACTGGATACTGAATGTGATGAGTTGAACTCTTCAGGGAATTCAATTCTGGCCTCTAGGCACCTCATGTGATCTTTTGAGGAACTTTGGTGAAGTTGTATTTTTGGGTCAAAAACTGACTTTTTCGATGATGCCGGCTATGGAAAACGTTGAAATTTTGGGGCATTTTGTAAAAAATCTAAAAGTTGTCTTTTGTCACTGGATACTGAATGTGATGAGTTGAACTCTTCAGGGAATTCAATTCTGGCCTCTAGGCGCCTCGTGTGAACTTTTGAGGAAATTTGGTGAAGTTGGATTTTTGGGTCAAAAACTGACTTTTTCGATGATGCCGGCTATGGAAACGTTGAAGGTTTGGGGGCATTTTGTAAAAAATCAAAAAGTTGTCTTTTCTCACTATCTACTGAATGTGATGAGTTGAACTCTTCAGGGAATTTAATTCTGGCGTCTATGCACCTCCTGAGAACTTTTGAACAATTTTTGTCAACTCTGATTTTTGGGTGAAAAACTGACTTTTTCGATGATGCCAGCTATGGACAATGATGGAAAACGTTGAAGTTTTGGGGGCATTTTGTAAAAAATCAAAAAGTTGTCTTTTCTCACTGGATACTGAATGTAATGAGTCGAACTCTGCATGGATTTCAATTCTGGCCACTAGGAATCTCGTATGATTGTTTGAGCAATTTTGGTGAAGTTGGTTTTTTGGGGTCAAAAACTGACTTTTTCAATGATGCCGGCTTTGGAAAACGTTGAAGGTTGGGGAGCACTTTGTAAAAAATCAAAAAGTTGTCTTTTCTCACTGGATACTGAATGTAATGAGTTGAACTCTACAGGGAATTCAATTCTGGCCTCTAGGCACCTCCTGTGAACTTTTGAGCAATTTTGGTGAAGTTGGATTTTTGGGTGAAAAACTGACTTTTTTTATGATGCTGGCTATGGAAAACGTTGAAGTTTTGGGGGCTTTTGTAAAAAATCAAAAAGTTTTCTTTTCTTACTGGATTGAATGTAATGAGTTGAACTCTTTAGGGAATTCAATTCTGGCTTCTAGGCACCTCCTGTGAACTTTTGTGCAATTTTGGTCAACTTTGATTTTTGGTGAAAAACTGACTGATTCTATGATGCCGGCTATGGAAAACATTGAAGTTTGGGGGGAATTTTGTAAAGAATCAAAAAGTTTTCTTTTTTCATCACTGGATACTGAATGTAATGAGTTGAACTCTTCAGGGAATTCAATTCTGGCCTCTGTGCACCTCGTGTGAACTTTTGGGCAAGTTTGGTCAAGTTGGATTTTTGGGGAAATTGATTTCCCCCCGTCTCAGCCCTGTGTGTGTTCTTTTGCATCACATTGACCCTGACCTTTCCAATTCCTCCAAAAACCTCTTTGCAAAGGCTACCTGTCCTCTTTGCAAAGGCTACCTGTATATGGCAAAAAATGTGTGGCTGATTTTGCAGGATGCACTACACGGCTTTACCTTGTGTTGTTTATGCTCAGACTTGCATAAATTTAGGCCTATATTAAACGGTGATTGCTGGAGGGTTTTGCAGGATTGAGGCAGTGGTCACCCCTCCAAGGACCACATCCAAGAAATAACGTAGGAATTTGGATGATTGAGGCTATATGCAATTTTTTACATAGTTGGAGGATTTTGCAGGATAGAGGTTGCATCCTCGCAAAAATGCCCATGGCTAGGGATTCAGGGTTAAAACATCTTTCCTGAGAGAATTCCCACAATGTACAGAGTTTTAACCCTAACCGCACCTAACGCTACAAAATACTACTAGTAGTAAACTGTAGTATGCAGTACTTTAGCATATAAGTGAGCACAGCACTCATAGTACTTTCTAGTATTTGGGTACCTGCATACATAATTTTTGTAGTACTTTGTAGTATGTGGTACTGTTCTCCAAATGAACTCTTAGGGGGTTAGGGTTAAACTAGAAGTTATGGGTTCGAGTCACACCTCAGCAAAGTTGTGATTTTTTTTTCTTTCAGAGGCTCTCTGACGATACTCATTGCAGTCTTAGAGTGCAATTCCAAGATTAACATGTACACCCTCCAGATGTAATAGTCCATCAAAAAGTCATGTGGTTTATCATCATTCCCGTCATTTTTCTTGCCTGGTTGCAGAATTCCTGACAAGTGAGCTGCAAGCTGCCAAGATTATCGCCAGCCGACCCCAGAAGGTGGAGGCCATGCAAGTGGATAAAGAGGTGAGTTGGTCGCATGCTGCCTTCAAGACGCAAAAGAGAAACTGTGTGACCTTACGATGAGAACATTAGATTTGAAATCAAGTCTGTATCATCTGGTTATTGTCGGTTGACTATGTGGGGTGCAGTAACCCAATAAACCTAGCACAGCACAGTCACTTGCGTCATGCCTGCTCCCCCACTATCCCAGTATGTGGACAGTGTATCACCCACGGCTAAACGTGCCCTAGCGAGAACTTGCTACAATTTACGGCAGTCAGTAAGCCTTCTGCTAGTAACGTTTGACCGTTGTTTGTCGGTCTTGGTCTCGGACATATATAGAAAGACCTTGTGTTGCTCATCGACAAGTAGGGGTCCCCCAAATATTTTTCATGATTTTTTTTTAGATACCCAATTCTCACCCTGATGTGAGTTATGTTTTGAACACAGCAATGCCCTAATTATCCATGGCTGTTTATATTGCGTTCATTTCCTCAGTGCGGATGGCACGTATCTAGCCAGCACCTGAAGAACATCTGCGTGGGTCTGAAGCTAAAGAAGCCCCCGGCAGGTGTCAACGAGGTCCAGTTATTCAATCAGATAGAGCAAAGTATACGAGAAAGACTAGGCAGCATGGGCACTGAAGGGGCGGGCAAGCCTATCCTGAAGAAACAGCTCACGGAGCAACAGTGGGTAAGTACATGAGAGGTACAGTACAATACGAAACTATAGACCAATCCAAGTTGCCAAAAGCCACATGCACCACAACCCCAGGCTGGTTTCGAACCCACAACTAGTGCTGAAACTGATCCTCCAGGTTTGGAGCATTAACAAAATACATGAGCTGTACTGCGCCACCAACAAGGGGTTTCCCCAATACATGCAATATACTACATCGTGAGCAGTATACCTCTTGCCTCTGTCTATTTTGGGGGTCGTCTTATTGAATGATACAGTAACTTTTCCTTACCACATTGCATTATGTATATGTGGTCTCCACTATAGCAATGCTAGATTGTATGGATTATGCACAAAGAAGACGGACAATCGTGGAGCTTAGCCCACCAAACAATGAAGATAAATGCAGTGACTTGTTAACATGGCAAATTCAATCATCCGTATGCTTTAATGCTGCCCTTTCATTGCAAGCATTAGCATTCCTAGCGCTTTAAAAAAAATACTTGCCAAACTTCCGGTTCATTTTGGAAGGCCATGTTTGGCTATGTTTAGTTTGGTTCGGCTGCAGCACTGCCAAAAACCTGCAGAATGACTTGCAGAGCACGAATTCAATGCTCAAGACCATGAGACCACGATACTCCACACGTGTTCTGGCATGGAAGTGTCCCCGTAAAGGCGAACAAAATCGTCACTGTAATTTCAAAATCAGATTGGTATTGAGAATTATAGTGAATTATTCCTTAACCCTCTACCATTTTGTAACAGGCCAAATTGGGAAAGATCAATGATCGTATGAGGAAGGAGTACAGTCTGCGCAGGCAGATGTTACTGAAGCGTCTTGATGTCACCATACAGTCTTTCCAGTGGGGAGAAAGGATTAAGGTGAGTCTTGGGTCTGTTCAAATAAAATGGTTAATCACAAAGTGTTAATCACAAAATGTTTAAAACAGGTTAGAGTCTGGATGGGTGATATTTGCCTCGGGTTATTATCAGCAATTCAGACTCCAACGAGTCTTAAACAAAGTGTTTTATAAATACCTTTTCGGTCAAAAAAACAAAATTGTTTCGGTCCAAAAATCAAAACATATTGTACAAATATTGAATGCTTCGAGTGGTGTAGTAAAACTAGCCTCCCGAGGTGATCCATGGACATTCTATTCGCCTCGGGAAAATAGAATGCTCCATGGATCACCGAGGGAGGCTAGTTTTACTTCACCACCAGATAAAGCATTCAATTTTTGTTTTATAACACTTCACCCACAGATTCTGCTTGGTTATAATATTTAAATTATTTACATCTGAACACAGTTGAAATAAACTTCAATTTCAATACAAAACTGGAGGAAAATGTATTTCTCTCTTCCAAACTACCCCTTTGCGAAATGTTTGAACCCAACTCTGTGGCGCGCTCTCTTTGCAACAAAAGGAGCTGCTTGCAACGCGCAACGCGTACACCAGCATGCATTTTGCACAAAAATACCGCGCCGTGGAAATAGTACTTTGGTTGCTAATGGTATAGTACTTTGGTTGCTACGGGCATAGTACTTTTGACCGTGCACAGAAAGATAGCAAAACTAGAAAGTATCATGTGACTCGCTCTCGGCCAATCAAGACAAAGAATCTGTGGGTGAGGTGTTATAACAAAAGCTAGACGTTGCCACTCATTTTGTTTAACAAGTTAACTTCGTGTTTAATTTAACACCCCTCTGACTATATGGAATGTCCTCTACAACTTATAAGGAGATTGGCGTGCACGTCGCACGTACTGCGCAATGTCACGCAAAACGCAGCTGGGCTGGTGTTGTGTGAATTTCGGAATATGAAATACCGATTCACTGGTAGAATTGTCATGTGACACTGGAAAAGTGTTTAAGACCAGCCAGCCATGTCTTTATCATCCGTTTAAGACTGACCACATGACGGGTTCTTGACCAATAGGAATGGGTAAACTGTCTTAGGTATTTATGAATTCAGAGTAATGTATGATGAATATAAATAAAAGCCTGGAAAAAAAAACTGTAAAACAGCAAATGAGCTGAATAGTGCAGTGGTTTTAATTTTTTTCAAACATCACATATTTTTAAAATCTGATTTCGGCTGCAATGTAGATATATTTCAATTTTGTGTTAAAGGTAGAGAAATATCATTTGTCACTTTGCATTTCTTTTCTTTGAAGCAACAAAATGCTCAAAATCTAAAGAAGGGTACTTAACAACTAACCTGATGAAGTTTTAGCTCAGTGAATGCTGTATATTCTGAGAAAACAATATTCTAGGATCTCGATTTCAATTCAAAAGTTGCTGAGTCGTGTTGTGAATTGTGCTTGAAATCAGTGCCCAGGACATGTTCTCATTCAACCGATTGCACCTACACGATGTTGGGCACTGAACCAACAAATTATGGTATCCGCACGCCTGTGTGCTTCCTGTCAATGCTTGCGCGCACCTATTCACGGTTTCCTCTATTAAAACCGAACTACCAACACAATTTTCAAAAGTGTGTCTTCAGACACATCTTTGGAAATGACCTTCTTTTATTGTTTTCTTCAAAATGACAGCAGGAATAATTTCACACGGAGTTTAGCACCATTACTATCTTTAAACCCAGTATGCATGCTTTTCAACAACAATTTTTTTAGTAACGTTTCGGATAGCAGCAAATGATTTACATGTACCTTTAACAGTCAATGTTGTCTACTTTGGCTGACTGATTTCAAGTTCATTTGTTGAGGAAAACTAATGAATGCCCTGTTGTGAATCATTTTTGGATCGTATGGACAAGTCCGCCGACCAACTAAAATTGACTGCGGAAATCTTTTGGTAAACCACTTTCACGTACATTTATGACGGGGTCCGCTCATAAGTCTGACGCCTCTTAGGTCCGACCCTCATAAGTCCAAAATTTCTGACTTATGAGGCATCACATTTAATTATTCCGCCTCATAGGTACCACTCCTCGTAAGTCCGACGCCTCATGGCTCCGACGCCTCATAAGTCCTAAACAGCATTAGTCCATTGTCGGACATATGAGGCGTCAGACTTATGAGTCGTTGGACCCGGCTATGAGGCAGATTTATGCCTCATAAGTCCGACGCCTCATTCGCACTTAAGAGGCGTCGGACTTATGATACGGCCCCTTCATGACATTATTCACTTGATTTTCGACCTTCTCACAAAAAATCTTGAAAAGATTTTTCTGTCTTTTTCTGTTGTTTTTTTGTCTTTCATCCCACAGGGCAAAATGCAAGACGATTTAGCAGCTGCCTATCGACCCAAACGGGGCAAGCTTGCTGCAGACAGTCCGGTTACCATAGCAACGCTCATGGCTGCTAGAGAAGGTAAGCTGCAAATTATATGCACCATAGGTTTGGGGGGAGGGGTTGGGAGGGGGGTGGGAAGGCCAACACGTACGTGTTCACCAGAAACATTTCTCAATTTATCGTTGAAAGTAGCTGGACTGGGATTTGTACCTGCAACCTCAGCGAGAATGACATTTTGTTGTAGTGCCGTGGTCAAAGGGTTACGGTTATAAGACTCGCGTAGTACCTGGGTTTAAACCCTGATGGGGAACATGGTGCTTGTGTTCTTGGGCAAGACTCTTAACCACAATCACCCTTCTCCACCCAGGAGTGTAAATGGGCACCTGTGAAGGTAGAGACTAGAATGCGCCGACCTCGAGCTGCTGCAAAAACTGGTCTCATGCCTCGCCTGAAGAACGGGGGCAATTGTGAAGCGCTTTGAGACCTTTGGTATAAAGCGCTATATAAGCAGCACATGATTATTATTAGGGCCTATGTTTTGTATTCTATAATGAATTAAGCTATTCAAGTTGCCCAACACATCAGCATTATGGCTTGAGAAGACATCTACAGGGCTTGACTTTTATTTACTGTATCTTCAAAAGCCTTCTCAGACTTTTTGGAAAAAACAATTAAAAACCCCATGCTTAAAGAGTGCCAATTGGTCTCGTAAGCAGCGCATAAAGAAAGTCGCATAAAATGTGTACAATTTCCACTATTTGGGTATCCAGGATGCCATTTTTCAGGCTATAGCTTAAATTAAGGCTTTTTCATGTTTTGGAAAAACAAATAGAGGCTTTCCATCCCTTTACACGCTGGCACAGTACATCCTCTTGTAGCACGCACAGAGAATATAAAATTGTGCATGCAGTGGCAGTCAGTATGCAAGCTCAGTACACAAATCTATAATTTGTTGAGTGAGTTCAAGGTAGACATACACGTGTGGTTTATACGTGTAATGGCACCATTAAGGAGACACGTTATCGTAATTTCTTCGCACGATGGGAGACATAGGTCATCATGCAGACATTTTCATGTCTCCCTAATGTCACAGCCCCACTTTAGAGGCAAAATGTTGTTGTCGCAATTAGATTATATTTGTTGCTCCTGTTCTCATTAGTAAACATACTGAAATTCGTGGAAAAAGGACAAGGGAATATTGGGTTAGGGCACATTTAAGTTTTAACAATTTTGTGCACAAGTCTATAGGCATGATAGGGATGTCTCCCAAATGTCCAATCCAGGGTAATTATTATTATTACTATTATTATTATATATTTTTGGTAATGAAACCAAGGATTTCTCAAAAGTGCCCTAGGCACTGTAGCTTGCAAGCCTGAAGAAACCTGTGGAGAGAAGACACTGAGAAGACATTACAGTTTATGAGGTGGGAAGAAAACCCCTGAAAATACTCTGGGGAAAACCCACGGAATCAGGTAGGGACTGAAAACCCAATCCACATATTGGCCCAGGCGGGATTCGATCCAGGGTCACAGCGGTGGAAGGCAAGAAGGAAATGTAATATTGAAATGTGATGGTGTACTGCAGTAGATTTGTGTATTTAGCCGTCTTTCACATGTCAACTGTTTCAGGCCCTGGTGCACTAACCCACTGGCATCCCTAAATTGCATCTCATGTGTTACAATTGCTCATGCCATGTTCTCCTTTCCTTTTCTGATTCAGATTTGGCAAAGCTTAGAAAGACCAGCAGTGGGTCAGTCAGGAAGAACACAAAGTCTGCCATCCACAAAGTCATCATGGGACATGTAAGTTTTGGGGACTTGCTGTTTTATTGGTGCCATAGGCCACTGAGGGTCCAACGTCATTGAGACACCGAGCACAGAAAAAAGTTTTCTTAGCTAAAAACAAAAGAAAAAAAGGTCACCAGCCAAAATGGCATGCATTTGTACATTGCTTGTGGCTGGTACTCGGCAGATTTTTGCTTACCTTAAAACAATTGCTGAGCACTTTTTCTACCTTCAGTTCCATGACATTGGTCCTGGTGGCCACAATCAGCCAGTTCGGTATCTCGATGAAGTATTCCAGGTCAAAGGTCATCATGAAATCACGAACGCCCATTCTGCTGTATTTAACGCCTAGCATCGTGCGACAGTCTCTATGCGCTTTCATGCGCCTTTGATGAGCTTTCGAATATCCCGGATGACCTGTTCCCCATATCATTGTGGGCAGGCACAGTTGAAATACTGAACTGGCTTATTGGAAGCCATTGTTGAAGTGGCACTACTCGGGGATTCATTTCTGGCATCTAACCACCTTGTGTGAACATTTGACTTAGTTTCGTGAAGTTGGATTTTTGGGCCAAAAATCAGTATTTGATGACCGCGGATATGGAAAACTTTTCAGATTGGGACCATTTTTGGTCAAAAACTAAAATGTTTGTTTTCTGCCCGGATCCTGACTGTAGTGAGCTGAAATCTCTTGGGAATTCATTCATGGCATCTACCCACCTTGTGTGAACATTTGACTTAGTTTCGTGAAGTTGGATTTTTTGGCCCAAAATCAGTATTTTTGATGACCGCGGATATGGAAAACTTTTCAGATTTGAACCATTTTTGGTAAAAAACTGAAATGTTTGTTTTCTGCCCGAATCCTGACTGTAGTGGGCTGAAATCTCTTGGGGATTCATTTCTGGCATATACCCACCTTGTGTGAACATTTGACTTAGTTTCGTGAAGTTGGATTTTTTGGCCCAAAATCAGTATTTTTGATGACCGCGGATATGGAAAACTTTTCAGATTTGAACCATTTTTGGTAAAAAACTAAATGTTTGTTTTCTGCCCGAATCCTGAATGAAGTGGGCTGAAATCTCTTGGAAATTCATTTCTGGCATCTACCCACCTTGTGTGAACATTTGACTTAGTTTCGTGAAGTTGGATTTTTTGGCCCAAAATCAGTATTTTTGATGACCGCGGATATGGAAAACTTTTCAGATTTGAACCATTTTGGTAAAAAACTGAAATGTTTGTTTTCTGCCCGAATCCTGAATGTAGTGGGCTGAAATCTCTTGGGGATTCATTTCTGGCATCTACCCACCTTGTGTGAACATTTGACTTAGTTTCGTGAAGTTGGATTTTTTGGCCCAAAATCAGTATTTTTGATGACCGCGGATATGGAAAACTTTTCAGATTTGACCATTTTTGGTAAAAAACTGAAATGTGTTTTTTCTGCCCGAATCCTGAATGTAGTGGGCTGAAATCTCTTGGGAATTCATTCATGGCATCTACCCACCTTGTGTGAACATTTGACTTAGTTTCGTGAAGTTGGATTTTTTGGCCCAAAATCAGTATTTTTGATGACCGCGGATATGGAAAACTTTTCAGATTTGAACCATTTTTGGTAAAAAACTGAAATGTTTGTTTTCTGCCCGAATCCTGACTGTAGTGGGCTGAAATCTCTTGGAAATTCATTTCTGGCATCTACCCACCTTGTGTGAACATTTGACTTAGTTTCGTGAAGTTGGATTTTTGGCCCAAAATCAGTATTTTTGATGACCGCGGATATGGAAAACTTTTCAGATTTGAACCATTTTTGGTAAAAACTGAAATGTGTGTTTTCTCTGCCCGAATCCTGACTGTAGTGAGCTGAAATCTCTTGGGAATTCATTCATGGCATCTACCCACCTTGTGTGAACATTTGACTTAGTTTCGTGAAGTTGGATTTTTTGGCCCAAAATCAGTATTTTTGATGACCGCGGATATGGAAAACTTTTCAGATTTGAACCATTTTTGGTAAAAACTGAAATGTTTTTTTCTGCCCGAATCCTGAATGTAGTGGGCTGAAATCTCTTGGGGATTCATTTCTGGCATCTACCCACCTTGTGTGAACATTTGACTTAGTTTCGTGAAGTTGGATTTTTTGGCCAAAAATCAGTATTTTTGATGACCGCGGATATGGAAAACTTTTCAGATTTGGACCATTTTTGGTAAAAAACTTAGATATGTGTTTTCTGCCCGAATCCTGACTGTAGTGGCTGAAATCTCTTGGGGATTCATTTCTGGCATCTACCCACCTTGTGTGAACATTTGACTTAGTTTCGTGAAGTTGGATTTTTTGGCCAAAAATCAGTATTTTTGATGACCGCGGATATGGAAAACTTTTCAGATTTGAACCATTTTTGGTAAAAACTGAAATGTGTGTTTTCTGCCCGAATCCTGACTGTAGTGGGCTGAAATCTCTTGGGAATTCATTTCTGGCATCTACCCACCTTGTGTGAACATTTGACTTAGTTTCGTGAAGTTGGATTTTTTGGCCCAAAATCAGTATTTTTGATGACCGCGGATATGGAAAACTTTTCAGATTTGAACCATTTTTGGTAAAAAACTGAAATGTTTGTTTTCTGCCCGAATCCTGAATGTAGTGGGCTGAAATCTCTTGGGATTCATTCTGGCATCTACCCACCTTGTGTGAACATTTGACTTAGTTTCGTGAAGTTGGATTTTTTGGCCCAAAATCAGTATTTTTGATGACCGCGGATATGGAAAACTTTTCAGATTTGAACCATTTTTGGTAAAAAACTGGAATGTGTGTTTTCTGCCCGAATCCTGACTGTAGTGGGCTGAAATCTCTTGGGAATTCATTCATGGCATCTACCCACCTTGTGTGAACATTTGACTTAGTTTCGTGAAGTTGGATTTTTTGGCCCAAAATCAGTATTTTTGATGACCGCGGATATGGAAAACTTTTCAGATTTGAACCATTTTTGGTAAAAAACTGAAATGTTGTTTTCTGCCCGAATCCTGAATGTAGTGGGCTGAAATCTCTTGGGGATTCATTCTGGCATCTACCCACCTTGTGTGAACATTTGACTTAGTTTCGTGAAGTTGGATTTTTTGGCCAAAAATCAGTATTTTTGATGACCGCGGATATGGAAAACTTTTCAGATTTGAACCATTTTTGGTAAAAAACTGAAATGTGTGTTTTCTGCCCGAATCCTGACTGTAGTGGGCTGAAATCTCTTGGGAATTCATTCTGGCATCTACCCACCTTGTGTGAACATTTGACTTAGTTTCGTGAAGTTGGATTTTTTGGCCCAAAATCAGTTTTTTGATGACCGCGGATATGGAAAACTTTTCAGATTTGAACCATTTTTGGTAAAAAACTAAATGTGTGTTTTCTGCCCGAATCCTGACTGTAGTGGGCTGAAATCTCTTGGGGATTCATTTCTGGCATCTACCCACCTTGTGTGAACATTTGACTTAGTTTCGTGAAGTTGGATTTTTTTGGCCCAAAATCAGTATTTTTGATGACCGCGGATATGGAAAACTTTTCAGATTTGAACCATTTTTGGTAAAAAACTGAAATGTGTGTTTTTCTGCCCGAATCCTGAATGTAGTGGGCTGAAATCTCTTGGGATTCATTCATGGCATCTACCCACCTTGTGTGAACATTTGACTTAGTTTCGTGAAGTTGGATTTTTTGGCCCAAAATCAGTATTTTTGATGACCGCGGATATGGAAAACTTTTCAGATTTGAACCATTTTTGGTAAAAAACTGAAATGTGTGTTTTCTGCCCGAATCCTGACTGTAGTGGGCTGAAATCTCTTGGGAATTCATTTCTGGCATCTACCCACCTTGTGTGAACATTTGACTTAGTTTCGTGAAGTTGGATTTTTTGGCCCAAAATCAGTATTTTTGATGACCGCGGATATGGAAAACTTTTCAGATTTGAACCATTTTTGGTAAAAAACTGAAATGTGTGTTTTCTGCCCGAATCCTGACTGTAGTGGGCTGAAATCTCTTGGGAATTCATTCTGGCATCTACCCACCTTGTGTGAACATTTGACTTAGTTTCGTGAAGTTGGATTTTTTGGCCCAAAATCAGTATTTTTGATGACCGCGGATATGGAAAACTTTTCAGATTTGAACCATTTTTGGTAAAAAACTGAAATGTGTGTTTTCTTGCCCAATCCTGACTGTAGTGGGCTGAAATCTCTTGGGGATTCATTTCTGGCATCTACCCACCTTGTGTGAACATTTGACTTAGTTTCGTGAAGTTGGATTTTTTGGCCAAAATCAGTATTTTTGATGACCGCGGATATGGAAAACTTTTCAGATTTGACCATTTTTGGTAAAAAACTTAGATGTGTGTTTTCTGCCCGAATCCTGACTGTAGTGGGCTGAAATCTCTTGGGGATTCATTTCTGGCATCTACCCACCTTGTGTGAACATTTGACTTAGTTTCGTGAAGTTGGATTTTTTGGCCAAAATCAGTATTTTTGATGACCGCGGATATGGAAAACTTTTCAGATTTGAACCATTTTTGGTAAAAACTGAAATGTTTGTTTTCTGCCCGAATCCTGACTGTAGTGGGCTGAAATCTCTTGGGAATTCATTTCTGGCATCTACCCACCTTGTGTGAACATTTGACTTAGTTTCGTGAAGTTGGATTTTTTGGCCAAAATCAGTATTTTTGATGACCGCGGATATGGAAAACTTTTCAGATTTGAACCATTTTTGGTAAAAAACTGAAATGTTTGTTTTCTGCCCGAATCCTGAATGTAGTGGGCTGAAATCTCTTGGGAATTCATTCTGGCATCTACCCACCTTGTGTGAACATTTGACTTAGTTTCGTGAAGTTGGATTTTTTGGCCCAAAATCAGTATTTTTGATGACCGCGGATATGGAAAACTTTTCAGATTTGAACCATTTTTGGTAAAAAACTGAAATGTGTTTTTTCTGCCCGAATCCTGACTGTAGTGGGCTGAAATCTCTTGGGAATTCATTTCTGGCATCTACCCACCTTGTGTGAACATTTGACTTAGTTTCGTGAAGTTGGATTTTTTGGCCCAAAATCAGTATTTTTGATGACCGCGGATATGGAAAACTTTTCAGATTTGAACCATTTTTGGTAAAAACTGAAAATGTGTGTTTTCTGCCCGAATCCTGAATGTAGTGGGCTGAAATCTCTTGGGATTCATTCCTGGCATCTACCCACCTTGTGTGAACATTTGACTTAGTTTCGTGAAGTTGGATTTTTTGGCCCAAAATCAGTATTTTTGATGACCGCGGATATGGAAAACTTTTCAGATTTGAACCATTTTTGGTAAAAAACTGAAACGTGTGTTTTCTCTGCCCGAATCCTGACTGTAGTGGGCTGAAATCTCTTGGGATTCATTCATGGCATCTACCCACCTTGTGTGAACATTTGACTTAGTTTCGTGAAGTTGGATTTTTTGGCCCAAAATCAG